ATAAAATATTTAAATATTTTATAATTTTAAAATAATTACTTACTGCAATTGAATAATTATTTCTTTTTATATCTTCACTCGTACTATATATTTTACAATAAAGAAGCAATGTTAATCATTCGAATCATCATTTGAATTTTAATTATCTATACAATATAATATGATAAGTCTTACTTTCGTCATAATTATGCCTTTAATAATACAAAAATTACAAATAATGACATACTTTTGTGATGATAAATACTACAAAAAAAAAAATTGTGTTCTTAAAAAAAAAAAAAAAAAAGCGATTATAAAAAAATTTATATATACAATGGTTTATGAAGCTGATTTTTCTCAATCACTTGAAGCATACCAAAATATCGTTACCTATTTCCGTAATAGAACTATACCCACCTCAATTATACCAAAAAACTGATGGAACTTTAAACGTAAAATGAAACTGTGGCATTTAGAACATAATCATCTTTATGTTCAAATCAAGGATTAACCACTTTGGCATTTTGTTCCCTCATGGGACTCTGAGTTCCGTTAATCTTTGTTTAGCCAGTTTCATGATAATGACCGTCATATTAATACAAATAATTGTCACAAAAAATTATGCCGCAACATATTGGTATTATGAAAAAAGATGTTTGTGAGTATATCCGAAATTGTAGTACTTGTAATCAAACTACTTCGATTAAAGAAAAGGATGATTTAACACCAGTTGTAAGTCACGGTCCAATAGAACACCTTCAGATGGATCTTGTTGATTTTATAGCATACAAAGATATGAACAATAGGTTTTCCTGGCTTCTTACCATAGTTTGTATTTTTTCAAAATTCTTGTAGGCAATACTATTTAAGTCAAAAGAAGCTGATGTCATTGGTAAAGCTTTGATTTCACTATTTGCACAATGGGGTGCGCCATTAATCTTGCAGTCTGATAACGGTAAAGAATTTACTGCCAACATTGTTAAACATATTTGTGAAGCACTTGGAATTATGATTTAGCATAGGCATCCTAGCCACCCAATGTTTCAAGGACAAGTTAAGTGCCTAAATCAAACGGTTGGACGGGGCTTTACGAAAATGCTGTGGAATGAAGAAATGCAGTTGCAAAATATCAACTGGAAAGATCATTTACTAAAATTTGTTTTTCTTATAATGCTACACAACATAGTGCACATAGCAAAACCCCCGTAAGGTTATGTTTGGATACAAGCTTCTTGGAATATATCATCAATTCAATCCCAACAATCCCATCGATTTTCAGGAAGTAGAGATACAAGAAGTACTAACAACACCTGAAATTGTAGAAAAACATTTAGAAAAGGTTTCAGCAATTTATGAAGAAGCCAATAACCAACTTGAAAAATCAAGCAAATACATGCTCAAACGTTCAAGTGTTTATCGTCACAATAATCTTTATGAGGCTGGTCAACCGGTTGCTATAGCTCCTGATACTGATATGAACCCAGCGACCTGTAAAAGAAAACTTCAAGCCAACTTCAATGAAACTGGAACAGTTGTTAATATGACAAACAACAACAAACCTGTTGTTATTGAAACAACTAAGGGAAATACTATGCAGTATCCTATTAAAAGGGTTCATCAGATCAAAAATAATAACAAAATAAAAGATGTCGCAGTGTCATCTTTACTTTCATAAAAATTAGAAAAATCAGGAGGGGGGTTTTTTTTTTTTTTTTTTAAGTTTTTTTTCAGGATTTTTTTAAGATATAGTTTTTCTTTTGTTTTGTTTTAAGCTGCTTTTTTAAGCTTAGTTTTTTTTTTTTTTTTTTAGAAGTCTTCGAAGTGTTTGAAAGTTGGGTTTTTAGGAACTTTTAAGGGCAAAATTAGGGTGGGATTAATAGGGCTTATAAATGGGCCCACCTCATGTTAGGTTTTATACTGCAAAATAAAAATCATGTGATGCCTCTAGCTAGGCAAACCTCATGTTAATTCATGACTATAATTTAATTTTAGCTATAGACTATGTGATACTCTAATTACGTAACTAGACTTGGCAGTTATGAGTCTGTACCTCGCTAAAGTTGAAAAATTATAACCTAATTGTTAAATATAGTAATTTAAATTATATATGAAAATTGTTATTAATAAAATATTTAATAATAATAAAAAACTAATAATAAAAATAACAATAATTAAATAAAAATTATACCTTAAGTACACACCGCAATAAAGAAGAAGTAAGAAAAAAAAGTTTCTATTTAAATAATAATAATTATTTAAAATTTAGCTATTAACTATACAATACTCTAATTATGTAATTACGTAACTAGACTTTGCGATCTACGAGTCCATACCTTGCTAAAGCAATATTAACTATATGAAATTATATTAATAAAAAATTATTATTAATAAATTATATTTAATAAAAAAAAATATAATAATAATAGTAATTAATTAAATAAAGTGTACCTTGAAAGTAAACACAGGCAAGGAGAAAAGCGATAAAGAAGAGGTAAGAAAAAAGAGTTTTATTTAAATAATAATAATTATTTAAAATTTAGCTATTAACTATACAATACTCTAATTACATAATTATATAACTAGACTTTGTAATCTACGAGTCCATATCTTGCTTGCTAAAATAATAATAAATATATTAAATTATATTAATAAAAAATTATTATTGATAAATTATATTCAATAAAAAAAAAACATAATAATAATTAATTAATTAAAGTATACCTTGAAAGTGAATACAGGCAGGAAGAAAAGTGATAAAGAAGAGGTAAGAAAAAAAGAGTTCTATTTAAATAATAACAATAATTTAAAATTTAGCTATTATAGTAACTATGTGATACTCTAATTATGACTCTAATTACATAACTAGACTTTGCGATCTACGAGTCTGTACCTTGCTTGCTAAAGCAATATTAACTATATTAAATCATATTAATAAAAAATTATTATATTTAATAATAAATAAACATAATAATAATAATAATTAATTAAATAAAGTATACCTTGAAAGTGAATGAGAAAAGCAATAAAGAAGAGGTAAGAAAAAAAGAGTTATATTTAAACAATAACAATAATTTAAAATTTAGCTATTAGCTATATGACTAGCTCTTAGGACCCAGTCATTGCCCGGGTTCGAGTTTCTAATTTTTTGCTAATTCTTAAGCTTTTATGTTTTTAATTATTAAAACCCAGGCGTTGTCTCGGGTTCGAGTTTCTAATTTTTTGCTAATTTTTAGGCCTAGCTTTTAGAACTTAGCATTGCCTAAGTTTGAGTTTTTTTGTAATTAAGCCTAATTTGGATTAAATGAAGCCAAAATGGGTTCAAATGAACCTGACATAGGTTAAATGAACCCAAAGTGAGTTCAAATTAACTCAATGTGGGTTCAAATGAACCCAAAGTGGTTCAAATTAACCTGACGTGGGTTCAAATAAACCCAAAGTAGTTCAAATAAACCTGAATTGGGGTCAAAGAATCTGAATTGGTTTAAAAAACCTGAATTGGGTTTAAATAAACCTAAATTGGGTTCCAACGAACCCAAATTGGATTCAAACAAACCCGAATTGGGTTCCAACAAACCCAAATTGGGTTCTAACAAACCCGAATTGGGTTCTAACAAACCTGAATTAGGTTCAAACGAAATTGAATTGGGTTCCAACGAACCCGAGTTGGGTCCAAACGAACCCGAATT